ATTACCTTTGTGAAAGTAGCCATTCCCTCAGAGAAGGAAGTACCATTTTCTATCTTACAGAGAAAGCAACTTGGGTGATGTTATGGGATGTAAAAGTTCGGTGGGCTGTGACTTTGCTTCTTTGTGGAAGAGCAGTCACAACTCTGCCGCCTTTGCTGGCCGTGACATAGGCCTACAGTTGCTTATGGGACTTTGGGGATATGGCAAGGCCTTTTCTGTTGAATTTCTGTGTAATTCCAAACAGTGTGAACTTTTCAAATCACTTGAGAAGTGCCCCAGATGGTGTGACATTCTGCTTCATGGGAAGATTTGAAAGTATTCCCTTTGCATAATTTCTGGTTAACTATTTCATTACGCTTGAAATGGGAGAACACCAAAGCCAAGAACTCTGTTGACATTTTGGCGGTGCTTGTTTAACCTCCTAGTGCACAGGCTACATTTGTTGAAAAATATTATTCTTACCTTTGCAAATCATCAGTAATTAATTCCCTTGGAAATATCTACTGCTGCACACAGCCAGCTTGGGAGGCTGCTGACAGATCATAGTTTTACATCAGGTGCTAACAAATTGATTATTAAATTTCATAACTAACTGATTCATAGCAACAACTTAATTTCTGTACCTCTCTAATGTATTCCCTGACTGTATTTTCAAATAGTGCAGAACAGCTGGATTGCTTTGTTGCTTCTGATGGTGAATTGAGCACAGCATATGAGATGTGAATGACTTGCCCAGTGCAAGGGTTAGTAACGTATCACAGACTTGTGAAATGCACAAGATGTTAAATGGTTATCAGCTGGATATTCACAATTAAGAATGTCCTTGTTAATTCTACATGCTTTTTATTTCCAGTAAATTGTAACTGCAGTTACCAGGATGGTGAGATTTTTCTAGAAGTGCTGTACAGCTTGCAGTTAAAGCAGTGTGTTTCTGAGTCTCATGCTGTGAAGGATAAGAAACGGTGACTACGTGCTATGAGGGAGCAGCTCATGTTCAGGTCCCAGTGCATACTTAAATTGTAATGGTAGACCATGTTAGCTCACTTGGTGCGATGTAAGTCACTGACTGAAGGCATTTTAAGGAGGCATAGGGGTAAATATTCAAAGCACACTGCAAGGTTTTAACTATACAGTGTTTACAGAAATATCAAATAGGTGTCACGGTTAGAGGGAGCAGCTTGGTTTAGAGTAAACTCTAATGAAAATTCTCCTTTGCTGCTGACATTTTTTGTTGGCCTTAGCTGTGCCTTTGATGTAGAAATACAAACTATTTTAAACCAAGGCGGGATTTCTTTCTTCCTTGGGCTCAGGAGGAAGACTGATGCAGATCGCAGCAGTGTTTTTAATGAACTTGTGAAATCAAGGTCATAGCTCTGCTATCACTTAAAAATACTCCTGTCATAAAGCAAAGCTGTAGTGCCAGATGTGTGGTGTGAATTGTCATGTATCTTAAAAATTTCATTCCTGCATAATGATACATTCAGTGATACAGAGCTCTGCACCACTGAGATTAGAATCTGTCATCTGTGGCTGAAATTCATAATGATATGGTGGCTGTTACGTAGGTAATCTTCTTAATTTCCTGGTGTGTAAATGTCCAGGTCACAAAAACTTAGATGACAATTTTCAGTGATTGGCCCTTTGTAAGCAGTCTGCCGAAAGACACCAATAGCTTAATGGACACAGATCCAAATCTGAGAGGTGGTTCTTTCTGAGCTGAAGTGAAGCACAACAGCAGTATCTATCATTACAATGCTTTAGGTTTGTTTTCTCTGGTATTTTCTAGAGAAATCAGTTTTTAACCATTTAAAACTACTAATGCTAATTAAAATAAACAAATTCTAAAAGGGAATCTGATATTACCTTTTCAATATGGTATTAGTTCAAAATGTCTCTATATTTCTTCAGAGATTTTTCTAATAGAGTATTGTAAATACTATTAACTTTATGGTCTTCTGATTTTAATTACTTTAACTTAAAAAAGAATTAGAACAAAATGTTGTTTGAAAAATACAAATCTCATGAAAAGGGCTGAAGCATAATTTTCTTTTATAAAACCCAATTAAATGCCCTGACAATTTAAAAGTGACTACATTTTATAGTTTTATAATTCTAGAATTGTTTTTTAATTACTTGAGCTGACAGATTTAGGTACAGAGTGCATATTTTGCCTCTGGTAGTTATTGTGTAATTAGAATTAATGAAGGATACTGCAATTCGGATAGGTGGAATATAGTTTTGGTTCATATCTGAGTTCTTTCTGTCTTATTGCGGTCTGTTTCTTCACAGTATATACGACAACTATCAAATAGAATTAAGGTCTTTTAGAACGTGCTATATTTGTTTTTGCCGGGAATGGTGATGGCATTTTTGCATTACTGCTGTATTCATGAATTTCAGTCCTAATACAGGAGGCTCTTATACTAAAAATTGCATCTGTGTTGAAGAAGCTTGTTCCTTTTTCCCATCAGATCTACAAATCTGTAAATTAATTATTGCTGGAGTTTTTCATAAACTTTCAGAAGAGATGATGAATCATCCAAAGTTTCCACACGTGCACATGAGAGAACCTTGCCTGTAAAAGGACAGTTCCTCTTTGTCTGCAGTTTCTCTTGTGGGTGTAGTATGTATGTAAAGGTATTATGTGTATAAGTGTTACTGACCAAAAGACAAATCAGAAATTCAACACTTCAGAAAATGAGCTTCCCAAAGTACACAGATGTTTCATACTACTTCTGAAGCTTTTTGTTCAGATTTTCCAAGTTGGCACACGTACAGATATTAGGTTGTTAACTTTGTATTAAAGCAGACTACATTGGTAACTTCCCAGCAGGCTTGAAGTTGAAATTTATTTTAATAAGGAAATACAGCCTACTGTTTATGTTGATGCTTATGCAGCTGAAAAGGTACATTTTATTCCTTCAGAAATGTCTTTTTGAAAGCTGGGCTATCAAAATCTGGGGTTTTCAAACATGCCTGAAGGAATCTAATTACTTAGGTTTGTTTGACAACCTGGGGATTCATGTTTCACATTCTTTTCCAGAATTCCTTTCACAGATGCTCAGAGTTGCAGTATATGTGTCCTTCAACCATATAGGAAAAAGAACTGACTCTGGGTCTCCTGTCATCTTTTGTGTGTAGGGCTGCAAGGAAGTATTTGAAAAGAACAGAGGGCAAGCAGCTATTCTTCCTAGTTGTGCTTAATTTATTATCTTCACAATTAGAGGTTTTTTTGGGTGGTTGATTTTGTATCATGGGATTTGCTCAGTTGCAGTAAAGATTTAATAGTCTGGAATTGGCTAGACAAAGAAATATGTTAATATTGTGGTGTTAGGACATCACATGTTCCAGTGCACTATTAATGAAGGAAGGAAAGGTGTTTGGCCATCATTATTTTGTGTGACCTTTCTATTTAATTATATTATGGCCAGGGATGCCAGATGCAGGCTCTCAAGTCTGAGCTTTACAGCTCAGGTACGCTTGCTGAGGTGTGTGTGTCAGACTGAGTCAAGGACACGAATACACTGTCGGTGCCAAGGTTTCCCCAGAGATGGAACAATCTAGCAAATGCAAATCCATCTGAGGTCCAAGAACCAGAGTCTCGTGTTTCATAAGGATTTCAAAAAAAGACAAGAAAGGACAGAAAGGATGTTTGTCCTTGATCTTGTTTTGGAGATTGGGAAGACTTCAAGGTGTGTCGCATCCTGAGATTACAGTAGAGACATCAAGGAATTTGAACTTTTCTAGACCTGATTTTTGAGTGAGAGAGGTATGTGACAGTCTAGGTTCTTTTTTAGCTTAGTTTCGTAGAATTTTACCCTTTGCAAAGCAAATTAGGAATGTTTCACTTCAAGTTCCTTCATTGTAACATTTCTTATTTAAACTGGGCTAGCGAGGAAGGATTCTGTCTCCTGTGTATTGTGTGCAGTTTTTTTCACCAAAGATTACAACTTCTAGAGGATGTTGCTATTTTCCAGCTCAGGCTTTATCAACTTGTATTTTTTTAACAGCTTACTTCACAAGCTGCAGAAGTATAAAACATGGGCATATGTGTTGTTGCATTGTGTCTTTATCTTTTAATCATTTTCCCCCTACCGGTTGTACAGATGTTTGCCCCACATAAAAAAGAGACAGGAGTTGCTTCTCCCCTAGGAAGAGTTTCTTTTTTAAATGCTCCCGAAGGAGCCTATTTGCTGGATAGCAGTTGGGAGAGCAGTGTTAATGTTAGCTATTTCTGGTGACTTACCTGTGCATATCAGCAAGCCATCCGCTAATCACTATTGTTGTGAATGTCCAGGACATATGGAGTTTGCTATAGTCCTGTTGGTTCTTGAGGTGTGAAGTATTACCATTCTACTTGGTATTTTTAAGGGAAGGGGAAAACCCCTATGATCTTGCTCTGGTAGGTGTCTTGAGAGGATATGTTGTGGTGGGCTAATTAAAGTAGATTCAGACAGTGAGAAACAAAAGTTAAAGCAACACGTTCTTCTCTCTTCTCTGCCCTTTCCCCAGTCTCAGATTCACCTCGTCATCCCAGCTCCTCTACTTGCCCCTCCCTGAGCAGGGCAGGAGGATGAGGAGTGGTGGTCACATCTACACACAGCACACAGCAGCTTCTCTCTGCTGCCTCTTCCTCTTCACACTTCTCCTCACTGCAGCATTGGGTGCCCGTGCCTGCAATGCCAGCTCTCTTCTTTTCCTTCTCCCACCATGCTGCTCATGCTGCTCTTTCACACTTTCTCCCCTTGCCCTGCTCTGCTGTGTGGCCTTTTGTCTTTTCCTAAACAATTCTGCTTTCCTCGAGGTGCCACCAGCATTGCTGTGGGCTCCGCTGTGCCCTGCAATGGGGCTGCCACACAACTGGATGTGCCTGCTGACAGAGAGCCCTCATGCCTGCACTGAGGCATGGCTGGACAGCTCACATGAGAGTGTGATTACGTGTCTTTCATTGAGCTTTCCATTTCCTGACTCACTTCTCTCCAATGCTTCTGGTTACCCAGGCCTCTCCACATCCTGATCTGCAACGCTGCCGTGTTTGGTGTTCCCTGGGTCTTGACGGAGGATGAGCTGGAGTCCACCTTTCAGGTGAACCACTTGGGACACTTCCATCTCGTCCAGCTTCTGGAAGACGTTTTACGCCGGTCATCTCCTGCTAGGGTGGTGGTGGTGTCCTCCGAATCACACAGGTTGGTGAAAGCTACCTTTGATTTAGCAGAAACATTTAATCCTCAGAGCACAGAATGGTTACAGCAGAACTGCAAAAGTTTTTGGAAATGAAAGGCCTTCCTCTTGTAAAGCGTTTGCTTTTGAATAATCTTTTTAAAAATAGAAGCATTACTAATGCCTCTGGATGTTACTGGATTTGGCTCTGTCACTGGATAAAGTGTGTTCTAGTTTTATAAGAGTATGTAGATATTTTTTGATCATTCTTTGTATGAATGCAGATTTTCGCCGCATTTCAGACCACTCATTGATTTTGCAAGGAGATGGAATAATAATTGATCAAATCTGAATGGCATGACCTATATTGATTTGTCATTCAACAACTTCAACATCTTACCAAGAAGAATGTGCAGTTATTTTAGCAGGAGAAACAATGCAATTAAAAACTGCTAGATGAAATCCAATTGTTTTATAATGAGAAATTAGGGAATTCAATGCAGACATTAGCTGTATAATTGTAAAATGGGAAGTGTAGTTAATACGTATTAGAAATCTGGCCATGCCTCTTTTGGTGAAATTTTTTAATTAAAATGTTAGATGCTCGTCTTTCCTACTGCCAGGAGAAGTGCAGTTGGCACAAAACATGTTGATGAGGTTTGCCTTATTGCAGACGTGCTTGAGATGTTTGTGTTAATAACTGAAAAGATGGATTTGATTTAAATAAAGTTCCCTGTGCAAAATGCATGCCCCAATTCTGAATTTTAGTGGGCACAAAACACTTAACTGCCTTCCAATTTAGTTCAGGGTCTGCAGGATTAAACCTATAATGTCCAGCTTTAAACATTACTGTTGATTTCTATTTCACTTTTGGTCATGTGTAACAGCTCTAGCAAAGCAAAAGGAAGAATGTGTAAGTGCCTTTTTATTTTTTTTTCCCCTGCCTTCATATTTCTGAAATGTTTTAGTGACCCAGAATGAAGCTTATTTTTTTAATCATGTTTCCATAAAATGTAACCCCAGGGACCTGGCAGAGAGAGACCAGCCAAGGGTCGGGCTGAAACCTTTATCACTTCCAAACACAGGGGCTTATGGTATAAATGACACACTGCAGATAGATTTACTTTTACCATTTTAAATTTATGATGGCTGAAATGAAAGGAAGCAATAGAAAATGCCAGTAATAATCCTCCCCAGTGTTAAAAGACATGAAATGTCTAGTAATTAGGTGGTAACAAAATCTGGACATCCTTATCTTTGCAAATCACACCAGGTTTGTGAAAGCAAGTAGCAGAGTCCTGTGAGGAGTGAGGGAGGCTACTGCAGGGCAGGCGAGATAGCTCTAGAAATAAATCTGCCAATTCCAATCACTTGCCAGATGTGGAGGGCACAATGGGATATGTATAAATGAGCTGTTATTTAATGGAAGATTATGTTGAATTGTCAGCTGCTTGTTCCCCTTTGTAAGTTTCTATCTCTGATAATATTTTAAATGACATCTTTGTTTTTCACTGTATTAAGTGCTGTCTGTAACTAGACCACGCATCTCTGGACATCTCTGTCTGTGTTTTCAAATACTTTTAAAGTGCTCATTTCTAACTCAGTAAGATCAGCCAAGGTTTATAGAAGCCTATCAAAAAATAATTACAGCCTATGTTTGAATAAAATAGAAAATGCAGCTAGTAAATTTCCCTTTTTCTAAGGGATCCAATTGATGCATTATGGCTTATCTTAACACTAAAACTGATCATTGTAAATAACTGTGCCTTTTTCCCCCAAATCTGTTTAATAGCAAGAAGTTGATGTAAGGATTTAGTTTAGACATTAGGTATTATTGGGTAGTAGTACTTTCTGACCTACTTGAGAACTCTGAGCCTTAAACTATGTTGTAAAACAGAAGTGTTGGTATCTAATTACTTCCATAAACCTTGGCTGGATCTTTTCACTGGAGTCAGGACCCACTGTTAGGGGAAAAATAAAGTCCCCTGTTTGGAGAAAATATTATACTAGGCTGCTCCAAGGCAAAATATTTATTTGCCTCTCTGGTTCTTCATTCATTTCTAGTTACTTCTCTAGATTCAGCACAAATGGATTCTGTTTAAATTAAGCTTTTGGGTACTTTAAGCACATGATATTAAAATCAGAATAATAAATAAGTTGAGTTTCCTTCTGTATTTATTTCTGTGTTGTTAATTTGATTGTACAGCCCTTATCCTACTGGATTCAATGAGATTGCCAACATAAGTAAGATTGACTCACATAAGCACACTTGCAGGGCTGGACTCAAAATATGTCATCGTGTTTCCATTATACAGTATTTTATTTATAGATTATTTTTGATGTTATGAATGATTACATGAGGAATGAATATAGTTAATTCCTCCCAGAACAGTACTGTTAATTTCAGAAATGTATTTTATCTAACTGAAAATTATGAAAGAGAAGTTTTGTTGTTGAAATTGAAGGGCTAATTCTGCAAGATACAGAACATCCTGGATTCCTCTTGAGTTTGAATACCATAGTTGCTTTTCTCTGAGTGTATTATAATTCTGCTCACAGAATGATTGTAGAAATTCCAGCTGATCTCTTCATTTCTGGGCACAAGATGCAAAATTAGTAAAGATATTTTAAAACATTTTTCTAGTGTGTACTATAATTATGTTTATCCCTGTTCTCCCCAGCTGATTCTGAAAACTGTGAGTATTAAAAAGAGCTTGCTAAATCCATTTTATTTTTAGTAGCTCTTCTGAATAAAACATAGATCTGTAACTAAATGTAGTATTATTTTCAAATACCGAGATATACCAGTAAATTGATAAATCAAATTAGAAAAATTTGGAAGAAAAATGCTATATGGAAACTTTATTTTCTTCATCAAAATGTCTTTAGAACATTCACTACTTTGTTATTAAAAACAAAAAAAAAAAAAGGGAAAGAAACAAACAGCTGGTGTTTAATGACTCTGTCAGACCCAATTAAAAAACATCAACTAGTTACTTTGATTTGTGTTCAGCCATGCCATGGGTATACTTAAAAACATTATACTCTGCCAGAACTCATTTTGGCTTTGTTTACATTTATCTTTTAAACATATAAGACTATTGATGGCAAGTTACCAAGGTTATAACCCCTTTATATTCATCAATTTTTAATCTAAAAAAGAGGCTAAGAGGCAGTGAGACTCATCCATAGCTACATGAACACTTAAATGAAAGTGTGCAGTATGTGAACACTGGATGAAATAATCAGGGGAAGGGAAGAAAGGGAAATGAAAGGATGCTGGGTTTCTGTGCTCCTAATGCAGTTATTTTATCCTACATTATTTCCTCTAAGTTGATTGTGCTTTCATGGATCTAAGGCAAAATCTTTTCTTTGGATTTAAAATAAAATGATTCATACGTTACATATCATGACTTTAAATCATGAAAGCCTTTTGTTATTTCAGTTTTTTAATAATTTGGTTTTGCTAATTATTCAGTATCTTTTTGCCATATTATATGATACTGTTCCCTGGGTCTCAGACAATTTCCAGTTGTTTTAACTGCTAAATGAGCTGTTGTTTTATGTTGTATCTGGCCAAGTTCTACTCTGTTGTCTTCATTTTATGGTGTTCTTAATGAGACCAAAATTAACTCTGGGATATCTAAGGCATATTTACTGTTTCTTAGATTTACAGAAATTAAAGACTACTCTGGAAAACTTGATTTCAGCCTGCTTTCTCCATCTAAGAAGGAGTATTGGGCTATGTTGGCCTACAATCGTTCCAAGCTTTGCAATATACTGTTCTCCAATGAGCTGAACCGACGCCTTTCTCCCCATGGGGTGACGTCTAATTCAGTCCATCCTGGAAATATGATTTACTCCTCCATTCATCGTAACTGGTGGGTGTATACCCTGCTGTTTACCTTGGCTCGACCCTTCACCAAGTCCATGGTAAGTGAATCACAGTATTTTATACGTATTCATTTTTTCTAATCAGGGGAGTAAAGTTCTAAAAATCCAGATGTATGCATCTGCTTTAACCTACTGCCTTTTATAACTGTGACCCTGATTTTAATGACAAACATCTTGCTAAGATAGTGTTCTAACAGAGGATTCTTCAGCCATTTTAGATCAACATTGTCAGTCTTCAGTAAAGGTGCCTTGGTAGATGGAGTGCATGACTTCCTTGTTTGAATACCTGATTTTCACTGTGATTAAGGTAGTTGTACATCTTAGGTATGGAATAGCTTAGAGTTATTTCTGTGCTCAGTATATGTAAAACATCAAAAAAATTGCTTTGGTTTTTAAGTGGAATATGCTTGACTGCATTTTTTATGTAAACAGATGCCCTAGTTAGAAAAGATACTACAGACATTATTAATGACTGAGGGAAAGTGCTTTCAGTGGTAAAAGCACCTTCATTCATATTTAAAAATAAAAATCAAAACCAAAACCCAAACAATTCGCTTGATTCTTACAAAGCACCGAAGGCAATGGGTGTTTTCCTTTTGTCTCCATTGGACTTTGGAGTGGGACCAGGACATAATGAAAAACTGCACAGTTCTTTCATAAGGCTTTATTATATGAGAATTTTTTTATTATATGAGAATTTGCAACCTCTTCAGTTACTCTTACCCCTTGAACCTCTGTCCCAGGTTATTTATCCTCTTTAGGAAGAGGATGACTGTTACATCATTGAGAACTGGCTTCCTTTAACCTTTTTGGCTATTTCTCATCCCTTACTCACTGACAAAGAAGAGTATTCCCAAAAGGGGAGCAGGGAGAGGGAGTCTCCCCTGAATGTTTGCAGCTACAAATCAGGGAAATGAAAAGATTCATAACCCTGCAGAACTGATTGAGGCACAGCAACTTGTTCAAGCCAAAACCAGACCCTTTTTGCAGAAGACTTCAGAACTGACAAGAGTGGTCGTGGTGTAGTGTAACTTTCAGTCTGCTGAGCTGCGGATACAGACCAAGTTAATTAGCTTTACTTTGAAAAGAGCAGAGAAGAAATTGTTGAGGCAGAGGAAGCCATCCTTAAGTAGCTTAATCTACTACAAAAGCTATTGTAGCTGAGCAAATGAGTGGTGGAACTTGCATGTACAGGTGCACAAAAAAATTTTACTTGTAATGTTCGTTGTCATTCAGAAAATGAAATTAATCTTAATTTTTACTGTGTTAATGTAAGTGGAAACAACATTTATAGTGTTTAACACTCTGCTTACCTGTCAAAAATAGAACATCTTGGACAATACTGGATCTTCAGTAAGACCTGTGGAGCAAAAATACAAACACTCTAATGTGGTACACTGGTAATATGTCAGTCAGGGAAGTCTTCACACCTCTAACCTCCACCTGCAGTCCGCAGGCTGTACATGTGCAAAACCTATTTATGTCCATGAGATTGGTAAGTGAGCATTCTAGCACCTTGGGACAAGTAATAAGATCTTTCAACAGCATGTTTTTTGACCAGGACCTTTAAAACCATGTCTCTGCTGTGTTAGGGATAGTTTGTAAAACAAATGCTTGAAGTTCTCCTGAGAATGGGTAAGTGAATGTTATCAATGTCCCATGAAAAAGAGGCAGCCTGTGGAACTTTATGAATTTTTATCTTTATTTGCTCTGACATGGCTTCACAAAAGAACCTTTTGTGTTTGTTGCTCAGAGTACCCTCATCTTCTAAGGAAGAAAATGAACAATGAAGTTAATTTTGGATTCTTTAAAACAATTGATAGATTATTTTTTTTTTCCTAAATAGTAATCTGTTTATTTATGGGTGGTACATAAAAGAGGATGCAAAATATCAGCACCGAATAATAGCACACTCCAGTTCAAACCCAGTCACTTAGGTAAGCCTTTTGTGTGTGCTTGTATTGCACAGAGGTTGGTTGAATGTTATGATGGAGGGTATGGGTTGAGTGTAAGCATCAGCTTTATAACTTATATTCTGATATGAATTGTTATGTTCCCCTGAACCTTAACAATGTTTTCATTGCCAGTAAAACTAGAAGAGTGCCCCTTCCTGGGCAGGCAAACACACTGAGCTGAAACTCTCAACATCATCAGTGTAAGAGTTTTTCTGTTTTAAGTTTTGTAGGGAACAAATGATTTGCTGCTTCTCTTTTTTTTAGGGATTGTGCTTTCACCAACCTGGAATAGACTTTGTTGAGGATCTTTCTGGGGGCTTCCTCTCAGTATTTCTGTGGCAGCTCACCCGCGAGTTTAGATGAGTGTTTTTTTGTTGGAATACTGGGTGTGTGTTTTAAGCTTAAAGCTGCAGTCCAAAGGTTGTGAACTATATGTTCCTGTATTTTTCAAGGATGTCTGCATTGCACAATGCAGCATGATGCAGCAGCATTTAAAGTAGTTGCATCTGAGCTGGGTCCGTAACTGGAATTAAGAGATCCGTGTCAAGGTTGTGTGGAGAGAGGTAAGGTTTATCAGTTTAGGCAAGGTGACTTACAGATATGCCTGTACCAGTTTTGATCTTTGAGGCAGTAGCTTTAGATGCTGCAGCGTTGTGGTACATGGAGAACCTAATCCTCCTGGAGCCAGTTTGAAGCTCTCTGCTACATTTTGAACTATAAAGACTTCTGGTGTCTATATAGATGCATGCACGTATATGCATATATGTATATATAGATATATATATACACACACACACAGAGTGCAGCTGCACATACCTGATTCTAACAGGGACCTTTTCATGTTATTGTAAAAGCTGTTAATAAAAAAATAATCACATCTTTAATTTGTATTTCTTAAAGATAGACTTACTTGATGTTCTGTGAGTGGTGGATAGCTTAGAATAACACTCAGAGTTTCAGCTCTTTTGGAAACTTTGAAGCTGGAGAATTGAAAATAAATACATTTGTTTCTCTACTATTTTTTTTTCCAGAACAATACAATTCTTATATTATATCCTGGCTGCAAGTTGCTACTTCACACCTTTGACTTAGTTGTCATCATTTTCTGTGGTACTTGTAAAATCATCTGTTTAATGTTTACTTACTAGAAATGATAACAGTTTAGTAATTATTTTGTTTTGTTTCCAACAAGGAAGAAATATACATCGTGTATCCGAAATATATTTTTTATGTAGCTGTTCAGTTCTTGAGTGTTGACAAGCTGTACTGTGGTTGACTGGGATGTAGTATTTTCTTCAGAAATGCATGCTATTGCCTACTGTGAATCACTGTCTTGCGGAGAGGTCATGAAGCCTCTGGCATGTGGCACTTGGGATATTCAGCATGACAGAATTTAGCTTAGGAAACAATGCTGGTAGCTGTTCAGTTTTGTCTGATTCCCTTAAGCACTGAATATTCTAATATCACACTCTCATTTACCTGTTCGCTGTTATTTGCTGCAACTTCAGTGATTTAATTTCAGTAATTAGGACTCTCTATGAATTCAGGCTGTTTTAAGTTCCTGCTTAAAGAAACGGTTTGCAGATCACTTAAAATCTGGTTTTCCTAAAAGAACAAACATGCCTAGTTAGGGTTTATCTGTGTTTCAAGTGTGAGGTTTTTAGAAACACAGTTTTAGTTGCTTGTGTCATACCTTAGTGCAAGAAATGCAACTTTACATTTTCCAAACCTGTTTTATGAGTGACTACAGCATAAAGATTGTGTTATGTTTGTGCTGGTTATAGTGAACTCTTCTGTGGAATCACAGCTGTCTCGTCAGCTTTTGAAACAGCACAATATTTAAGTCACTGATGCTTATTAAGTAGAGCTGAAACTGGAAACTGAAAGACTATTCCTTTTTTCCCACCCACTTCTTTTTAAGATCTAAAATCTACAAGGATTTGCTAGACAGAAATGGAGAACAAGTATGTTTTTGTAGTAAGCAGTAGTTGCAAGTAATTACCATTTTATTATTGTAGTAACTGGAGCTCTACTAATGTTCAAAGGGCTTTTCTTTACTTACCACTATGTAGTTATTGAGTAAATTGGAGACGCTTATAGTATAATTAAATGTCAATTGAAACAAGTGGCCACTGTAAATAACAGATTGAAAGAGAAGCTCTGAAAGTTTTTGTGTAGGCTGTGCATATCCTTAGCTTAACTGGTTTAATCTAAGGCTTTAGGGTTCTGCTCCTTAGGCTTTTTCTCAACTTCTTTTTTTTTTCCTTTTTACCTCTCTTCTGTGCTCTTTTGCACTTCTTTTCTCCTGTCTTTTTTTCTCTCCTTAAAAGTTGTCTCTAGTGCAGTTTGACTGAGTTGTTTCTTTTGTATTAAGTTAGTTCTAGTCATTCAGGACCCATCTGATTTGTTCTTATTTACATACAAGATTAAAAATAAATACATTTATTATAAGTTTGAAGCTTACACTGAGTATGCTATCCAGTGTCACCCCCGGGTGATTTTGTGAGTGTACAATGGCATATAAAATTAGAAGCAGAGTGCCATTATTGTACACTTGTGATAGTTTTACATAGAACCATATATTTTTGTTGGCAGGTAACAGAGCAGAAAGAATATCATGTGTTAGAGTAGCAAGAGCTTAACAGATGTTTCAGTGAACTGAGTTTTCAAATCCTTTTACATTAAGAAATGGCTAGAGTTTGTAGAAGTTCTGAGACTATTGGGTTACATTTCCTGTTGCAGTGCAAAGCCAGCCATTGTGCTAGAGTTTTAGCAGATGTGTTACCCCCTTCTAATGGTTGGGAATAAAACACTCGTTCTCATACTGAAATATACATTACAACTAGAAGAGCTCAACCTGTTGCCTTTAAACAGCCAATTAGCTGCAGTAAGACCACTCTGGCCTTAATTTTTCACTGTGTAAGAGACTGATACTTGAACTGCTCTTTGATCCTCCTCCCCCAAAGATAGTAGCTTTTCAGAACTGGATTTTTTATTTAAAGTATTTGCTATTGGGAATTATAAGGAATATTTTTAAGGGCCCCAAAGTCCTCAGCATGTCTTAGTCTTCCATAAAACAATGAA